CCCCCTCTCTCCTAGCCTCTTGTGCCCCCCCATACTCCTCACTGGCAGGTCGGTACCAGGTGAGAAACTGAAGTGTCCTTGGCTCCATGCAGCACTGTGCAGCAAATAAAACATGGGTGTGTTATCAACACTGTTTTTCTCCTAATGTCAAAACATAGCATCCTACCAGACACTATGAAGAAAACAAATCAATTCTGTCCCAGCTGAAACCATGACATTTTGCTGCCAAGAAGGGTTCCCAGTCTAATTATTTCTAATTTTTCCTCACTTGTTAGCTATAGCTTCCTTCATACTCTCATACCAGGAACTCATTGCCTGCTCTGTAAATTGGATCAGTAAAATAATCCAAATTTATTGGAGCTTTTGTTTCTACGTAAGAGTTTGTGGTTCTCCACTATGATGCTCAGATAGAATGAGTACCACTGAAGTGTACCATTAACCTTGTTCCTTCAGTGCTCTCACTCTTTGGTGGAAACAGCAGAGATGAACAATTGGTTGTTTCCTGGGGGGTGCATCTGCCTTTGCAACGTAGATCAGTAATGGGAAAGCCTCGTTTTTGTCTGTGTTGCCATGGAAAAGTTATATATGAAACTGAAGGGTAGAGTTTAGTACAAAGCAGTAGTTACATCTGCATTAGCAGTAGTAGTATAGTATGTTGTATAGCAGTAGCACAGCAGTGGCAATTAAGTAATACAAAGTGTTTTGAACAGGTCCTGTATCCCTCCCACAGGGCAAATCCAGAGGTAAAGAAATAAAAGATGTCTGTCCTGTTGTATTTTTGAATGGATCAGTAGCCAGAAACACCCATGAAGCATTGAGACACAGACACAAAGCAGTGCATTACACTTCAAGTCATCATACTGTCTATTACCTTTAACATGAGTGTGTGGTAGCTGCATTTCATCTTTAGAATTAAGTGATTTTTTTTTTTTTTTTTTTTTTTTGAGATGTTTAAGTGAAGATCTGTACTGTAAGAGATCATAGCAGTTAAAAAATAAATTATTTAGTCTCAGCATGCAACTTTAACTGCGGTATTATATTAACACTGCATTCTTTCGTGAGAATTTTAGTGTCTGGTAATGAATTGTGGGTTAAACTTTGTCCTGCTGACTTGGCTTTCAGTCTGGGTCCTGCAACTCTGCCATTCAAGGGTCAGAGTTTATTTGATCTAGATACAGAATTCTTAGGCTTAGTGAATCTAAGCTTTTTTTCTTCTTCTTCTTGCAAGCAGATAAGAGGAGAATCAACAGCAACTGTTTCGGTCCAGGCCTTGGGCTTAATGCAAGCTCCATTCTATACAACATTACATGGGAAGCTTCTAGGAAGGCAAGCACTTGTTTTTAAGTTCTTTCAGTGTATGTACATATAGAAATAATACAGGGTATTTCATAAAAAGTATACATGCAAACATAGAATTTGGACAGTAAAAGTACAGCTCGTTGAAGTTATATAATTATGCGAGCTGAGCTTCTGCACTTCTGATAGCTAATTAAGAATTTATAAATATATGGCCGTGTCTACATGCTGTCAGTACTTAGGATTGGATACTGTTTGACTAGATATTTTGTAGAGGGATTCGTTCTACCAACAACCTCCTGTGTAAGCATTATTCCAGCAAGTGTTACGTTCTGTGTAACAAGAGAGGGAATTGGATCTTTCAAGTAGTGAGACTTCAACATCCATCCTGTTACTGTAGCAATACTAAGGAAAAGCTCAAATTCAAAAGTTTTAATTTTCTAAAGGAATTTTATGTCTATAGGTCTGTAGATGACCTCGTGTGTCATAAAAAAGCATTGGTTTGGGATGAGTTCTAGAAAATCTGTTTTGAATGAGGTTGCTGAATATGTCCTAGGACACATTATTGACCTCTTCACATCTGTTCTGTGTGTGCATTATTTTACAGTTATTGAAACACGATGGTTGGGAAGCCAAACCATACGCTCATCCCCAGCGGTACTGCTGAATCTTAGAAGTCTTACATTGAGATTTTTTTGTTCTGAAGGCTCTTGTTTTGTCCTTACCAGTCCTGAATAAAATCCCTTTCTGAGCACTTTTTTCTAGCAAGTGCTATTCATGCTCTTTCTGTTTAAATAATCTCTTACATATCTACATTCCTTGCAAGACAACTCTGTAATACATACACACACTTTCATCTACATACAGTGCTTTGTATTGCGTCAGACCAACTATAAGTATGGCTAGCATTTTTTACAGTAAAACCTCTACCAGAAAAATCAGTTTATCTATGATTCCCACAAGACATCCTTCCAAAGCTTTATTTAGCCCAATTTCATTAAGCTGAACACTTATTTTCAGTATGGTTGTTATTTACAAATACAAAAAGCAATTGCTGGTAGCAGTATGATGCACATCAACTCAATTTACTAGGGCAGGAAGAAAAATCATGTTTGAATTACATTTTTTTTTCTCTTTTTTGGGTATTTTTTCTGCTCGGTTTGAATGTTTGAGTGCTGAGGTTCAATTTGTTTCCTAATTTTCCCTGTTTCCTAATTTGCAAAATACATATTGGTGAGACTTATTAGAAAAGCAAAAATTAGAAGAAAATTCCGTAACGTATAAAATTCTGTGTGGGTTTTATTAAAATTGGGAAATATGCTAAATATATGTAGGTATATTCAAAGCTGTTCAGTAGTAGTAGGCTCGCTAATCAAGACCGAAAGGTAGTAAGCTCATGAAAAGCTCAACTTTGTCCTGTGGAAGCATTCAGTGAGCTCTGTTTTCTGTAGTCAATTCTAAAGAACAGCAAAGACTTTAACATGACTTCTTTCTTGATCTCTCCAAACTGCTTTGAGTTTAGTTGAAGTATTCAGCTTTTTACTTAAAGGTCAGCTGATTTGCTTACATACCTTATCTGTGCTGTGTTCATTTCTTTTCCCAATAGGTTGAACGTAGGGCAGAGGTAAAACTGGCAGAACTAGTTTTTCTTAGCTTTAGACTAGAAACTTTCAGTACTTCGAAAGCATCCTGATTCTCTACAAACCAAGTTCACTTAACACACCACCAGATGAAAGTAGAACCTTTTCATAGTCTTATATTGCCAACAAATCACCTGATGTTTAAGGCTTTGCTCTTTTTGTTCTTAGTCTTTTACTGCTTACAGTATTCTGCAATTGAGTTACGTGGCCCTTTGGCCTTCAGCCTAAGAAAGTAAGTTAAAATAGAAGCTATCTGTTGAAATGGCAGTACCTCTTTCATTTCTGGCACTCAAAACATAATTAAATGACCCTCGGTACTGTGAGAGTAGAAATACCACGCTGGATGTTGTTTCCCTCTCGTTGAAAAAGAAACAGTAATTCTGCTTTATCTGTTAACAGAACAAAGTCAGCAGTAGCCACTTGTTCTCAGTTGTGTAAAGCACACGATGCAAAGATTTCTTAGCTGCTCTAAGTTGTTTCATGTACTGTATTTTCATTAAAGTGAAAGCATACTGTTATTAGAGATAGTCTAGATGTTTTTCTCAGAATTAGGTGTTGGCTGTATTAATGCTTACAGAAATCTTGCATCATTTTCTAACTTTTGCTAACACTGTATTTGTACATCTTAAATGCTAATTCCTCTGGTATACTCAAAATTAGTCTGTAAAAGTTAGAGTTAATTTCTGCAACTCTTTCCTTCAGTATTAAATCTCATGTGAATTAAAAAAAAGACAAAGGAATACATATGATGTGTGTGTGTTGTTTGTTTTTCACTTTCACAAATGGCAAGCTAACTTTCTTTAAATTCTTGATAGCATTGGAATTAATTTTCCTACTAGGTACCCAAATATCAGCAGGCCAGCCTCAGCACCCACCACATCCCAGTCTGAACTATGAAGTTTACAGGACTTACTTATGTCAGTACAAAGTTGTCAACTTCGAGATATATAAGAGCTCAAAGATGGCTACTTTCTGAATTATATCTAAAACTAGAAATCCTACACTATTACAAACTACACCTTTTTACTGTGCAAATAATCACTTTCAATACTGCATCACTATACGTAACTTTCCCAGACATTATGGAGATACTTTCAGCTAAGAGCATAGGAACTGTATATACAAATACTATAAAAGGGAATATTATCTGTGTGCTTAGTATAACAACGGTGTACATAAGACAAAATGAATAGATGGAATGAGAGCTATGATACCTGGCAGTTACCAGTGCCAACTAAGTTTGGCTTATTGCATGTGGTCTTTGCAGGGGTTACTTTACATTTTGAACAGATCTTTCCAGCTCTTCTCTTGTCCTTGACGTGTATATTTGGAAGGAACTCGTCCAATTCAAAGAGGATAAGTTTTGATTAAAGTCATGTGTTCGGTATCACCTGAAGTCTTCACTGGTTTGCTGGATCAAGCTACAGTGTACAGCTGAAAAAATGGAGGTACTCTCTGTAGGTCGCAGTCTGGGGAAACCTGACAGACTGCATACTGATCTACAGTTGGAATGTGGGCACAAAGCCTGTATGCATCCATCGTACCATTCAGAAAATGGCCACTGATCTATTTTTTTTTAATTATTTGTTTAACATAGAAAAACAGCACATATTCCTTAAAAGGAAATTTTCATAGCTGAAGGTATTTCTAGAATTCTGGTAATGTGTTTTGTTTGCTGTGTTTGCAGCTTGTCCTGACAGCCTGAAATTGTTATCACAAACCTAAGGCTGAACATGAATTAAAGTATAGCATGGGGAAGCTTGTACTGTTGCTACAACAGCGGAGTTGCCTTCATGTGACACATTCAAGCCTTTACAAGTGGGAGCACGGTTAGAAAATACCTCCTTCGTCCTCCTAAAAATAAAATACATCCTCCTTATCGCCTAGTTACAGTCTTTGATCTGGCAGTATGCCCAATGACAACCTTCTGCAAGTATGTTGAGTCAGTGTGTCACTCACTGAGAAGCCCCGACAAACAAACCTCCTTCATTTCCTGTTTCAGTATTGCATGCTTACTTAAAGTCAAAGCAGGGAGATCACTGAAGTGATCAATTTGCTGTTTCTAGGCAAATAAATGCACGCTGCCTTGCTAATTTTTGTGACACCCTATCAAGAAGCTGAAAGGAATTTGTGGCACTGCAACAGGAAACCCTAAAATGCTCTGAAAAATTCCGTAGAACAGTTAAAAAGTAATACACTTTTTCTCTGAGAAACAAGCGCCTTCCTGTGTCGGAGCAGTCCAGATTTGCCTGCTGCATCCACGAAAGCCGTTCATTCAGTGAAGGTCAAAGGTTTTGTTGTTGGTGCACCAGCTGATCATCTGTACGCCGTTGGGCTGCACTGCTGAGCATAACAAACTGCTGTGCAGTGCTGACGTGCGTCACAGGACCCTGGGGTTTTGCACGGGGATTAGTCAGGCTGTATTTGGAAACGCCCTCAACTGCACCTTGTGCTGCTATATTAGTGCTTCTCAAGCAAGAGGAATTTTCTTTTGCTTCTGCAGCTGCTCCTGCAAAACCCTCCGGTAAGTGTGCACAGCTTGTCAACAGGACTGACTATCTTCTGCTTGCATTTTTAAGCCAGTTAGATGAGGCGTTGTATGTGGTTGTTTACTGGGACAAATTGTATTTCTAAGATATATATTTGTTAGTTTAGAAATGGCAAGAGCCTTGAAGGAATAAATATATTTACCAGGTTTTTTTTCTTATTGAATAGGATAACTCAATTTGCACATTCTTCTATTTTTAAATGTGTATCAGAGTAGCCTTAAGCGTGGGTATTTTCAGAGTGGCCTAGCTGTGTGCCTTGCATGTCTGCTTTTATTTCTATACAGCAGGAATAGCAAACATCATGTAATATAGCAGACCAATTCTTAAAAGGATTTGGTTGATTTTTGTTGGCAGCCTGTATGCAAGCCCTGCGTCTCTGGACTCTGCTTGCCACCTATGCAGTTGCAGTAGGACAAAATCAAGGACAGAAGAATCAGGAGTGCCCTAAGCTCAACGCACAGGTACTCTCCTTTAAAAGCACAAGAGAAAACACTGTTGTCATGTTTTCTGTAAACACTCTTTTCAGATTTTTATGTTTTGTGTCTTGTTTTTTTTAATTTTTCCTAACCAAACCGAATATCAGATTCTACCACGTTAAGTGGAAAAAGATGTAAATCATTAAGCAAAATAAAACAGGAAAAAAATATATTTAGTGTGCATCATACTCTGCTTCTTAAAATAGCTTAGGCAGTAAAGCCACTTACAGTTATTTCACATAACCAGGGGATTTCTAGTTTTGCAGGACATTTTCAAGCAACTGTGACAATATTCAATGTTCTGTTGTTCTATTTCCATAATAACTATTTATATTATATAACTATTGCCTATTTACTCTGTAAGTTTTCCCAAGGCTATTTCTTGGCAAAACTACCAACAGCAAAACTTAATTGTTAGTATTTATTGGAGATTTCTTACCATATTTGAGTTTACATCTCATGAACATGAGCTGCATTATGTTCTTGGTTTGGGTCATCAGAAATTAAAAAAAGCTGTCCTTAGTTCAGGTCATGCTAATGGACTGCATAATCACCAGTGCCATTCTCTTGCCTTAGCTGCACGTCAAGTGAGACTCCACTCTCTTGCAATGACTTCTGGTGTTCCTGTCTAACAGACAGCTGGGGCTGCTGATAGAAAACTGCTGCACTCCAAGACCAAAATTCAAGTTGTCTGAAGTAAATTGATTTCTATTTGAGCACATTGAAGCTCTGTACGAGCACAGACGGAGGAAAAGATACACACACATTCCTTACTGCAGCTTTTGTTCCAGCCCCAGTGTGGCTTCTTGCATTTCAAATATTGCAAATAGCAGAAGTTACACGATGCTGGCTTGGTTTTTAAACTTTTTTTTCTTTTTTTTTGTAAACTTTGTTTTCTAGAGTAAGCAGATAAAATTAGCGTTCTGCAATAATGTCAAAGGGGAAGAGAAAATGGAAAATATGTTTATCAATTAAGGGATGTGCCCTTTTTCTTTCTAATTTCACCAAGTGCACTTTCTGTCCCCAAGAACACCAAGATCCAATTTTCTGTAACTTGCCAGGGTATCAGATCTCACAGCTATCACTGATACCATACCCTGCCTTTTTTGGTACACGTCCACAAGTAAGTATATGTGATAGCTAGTCTCAGACCTTGGAATTGGGCATTTGCAGCTCCCAAAATAAACATCTTTTATAGCATTTTACCCGGGAGTTGTCACCACAGGCTAGAAATGAGCATAGGCTAGAAAATTAACAAATAATTAAACCTTACCCATTTTATCACTTAAATTCGCATTCTTCTTGTTCAGAAATAATGCTAATGGATCCCTCTTGTTGCCAGCCCATTCTTATGTGTCCTCTATCATAAGTTAATTGGTTTGGAGCCTAGTGTAAGACAAGTTTCCTAACAGATGTTAAAACGAAATCATGTCATACTTGAAATTCACAAACTGTCAGCAGTATTGTGGCTAGTTCTTCTTCATTTTCCTATCACTTTAATGACATTGTGGTCATCTGAAGCACTCTCTCCTTTTCTGAGAATTGTAGAAATTCTCTTTAATATTTTACCTACCTCTGAGCAGGGTGTTTTTCGTAGCAATGCTGTTTGTGATGCATCCATATGAGATTAGTCATTGTAAAATAAGAAAAATTTGTATCTGACAAGTCTTACAGGGGTACTTGGAAAAAAAATCAGGCAAAGTATTTTTACATGTCCTTGTTTGAAGCACTGCTTAGCAGACTTAGGCTGATAATCTTTTATATTTTTAGTTGTAATATTTCTGTCAGTTTATCTGAATTTTATTGTGAAATAAGCCATTTCTCTATGTGTTTAAGATAACAAGTCATTCATCCTTCCCCACTGAAAATTACAAATAGTACAGCTACCTAAGGTTTCACAGCTGTCCTACACATCAAGTGTATTTTTATTAGTTACTACTCCAATTGACCTTATTTTTTTAATTTCTTTTTAATCACAGGAAATATTTTTATTTTACTGGGTAGAGGGGAGATTCAAAAATTCAGCATATTCCAGAATATGAATTATACCTTGTGTACACAGTAAATTATTTCTTAGCTGGGGTACCATTTTAGAGATTATCACCAACTCTTGTTTAATAACCTGAGCTGCATATGTTTAGATGTACAGTGTCTCACATACTGATGATGTATATAAGCAGCACCCAAATACAACATGAAAGCAACTCTGTTTGCACGCTTGCTGTCCATTTGTATATAGGAAACATTAAAAACAAATAAAATTCAAAATGATCTTCACAGTATGTACATTTCCTCTTAATTTAACCCAGCTATATAGGTGTATGTCTCGTGTACTAAATAGATATGTTATGCTCAGAACTGGCATTGTTGTAAATGACCATTCTGTGGTTTGTAGGACGGGGATTTCCACACCTGCGTGAATCCAATATTGTTCATTCGTCAAGGTATGAATATAACATTGTTAACTACAAAAGAATTTCCTACATCCTTAGTCCAGGTACTTGCTATCAAAAATAATCCCATCTCTTTATCCTTTTCGTAAATCAAATTAAGCTTCGCCTTAAAATAATCATTCTCAGTTTTATCCTTCTTGCTTCTCTTTGAAAGCTCCTTAAAAACCTTTGAGACTAGAAACTTAAATATGTTTGTGACCAGTGCATATGCCAGCCCCAAATTACCCTTGGGAGTTATCATCTTTTAACATAGACTTCCAAAAGCTACCTGTCTCTATGAACTATTTCAGTAATGTGTTGATGTGCTTGATATGAAAGTAAAACTCTTCTCACACCTTTATAACATGACAGAATAAAGGTGACTCCATGTGATGTATTTTCAGGTATCACAATGAAATACGAATTTCTTTTCCTGTGCTTATGTAGTTTTAGTCTTGTACATAGAAGGCTCCTTGCTCCTACAAGCATTCTTGTCTTTGCTAGGTGCCCTGGAGTATTTTTGCTTGGTTGTTTCTCCACATAGAATCACAGGATGGCTTAGGTTGGAAGGGAGATCAAGATCATCTAGTTCCAACCCCCCTGCCACAGACAGGCTTGCCAGCCCCTGTATCAGGTACTAGATCAGATGGCCCAGGGCCGGGCAGCCTGTTCCAGCACCTCACCACCCTCTCAAGCAAAAACTTCCCTTTAAGTATATATGTTCTTTCCTGTCAACTGTGCATCAGAATTATGGGCCTTCTGCATACATTGAGTTGAATCCTAGAGCTTTATTGAGCAGTCTGTAGAAACACAAGTTTTCTCACATTATTTACTGTTCTTTTACTAGCATCATTTCACACTTTGTTCTTTTATCTATCTTACCAGTTCCATGCAATTTGAATCTGTTTGTCTATTTCAACTATGAGGAATGGCAGATACAGAACAAAAACCAACAGCAAGACTGGGCAGAAGACCCAGGAGAAGACAGTTTGTTAGAAAACTGGTGATCGCTTATTGAGTAGTTCCACTTACTTCTAATAAATAAAGCCCAAGTAAAATAGTTGTTCTTAAAGTTCAGTTGCAAATGTGAATTGCAAGGAAGTAGTGATCAAAACAGTAGCTCTTTGGTCTGACTGTACTTGTGTGGGGCACTGAGTCTATCATAAATTCCATATCCATAGCGAAAACTTGGGTTTGACTGTGAGCATACTTGTGGTAGTGACATTTCATGGGTTATACTCATTGCAGAAGATATTTTTTTTCCTCTAAATTAAAATACTGGCTCTTCAACTGACTTCAATTCATATGTAAAAATGAAAAATGTATTAGAAATAACCAAAAAAAAAAAAAAAAAAGTGACCTTGAATAGAGCTATAAGTTTACAACACCAGAGCAGGAAACTTTCATCATACTCAAAATCTTAAGCAATCTCTTAACATACCCTGCTGAATTCTTTACTAAGGGTGGTGTTTCAAAAATTTACAAAAGGCCTCTGCTAGTAAAACACTTGCAAGCAATCCAGCTTTCCTCATGTAGTCTCTCCCTGTGATTTCTTCATCTCCACCAACTAGTCTGTTTAGATCAGGTGCATTATGAAGCCTGTTGCTTAGTATCTAAGTAAACCAAATAATATTTGAACTACTTCTTACAAAAAAAAGGAACATTTAGATTTCACTTTGTTTAACTTTTGCATTCCAGATCTAAAATATAATGTGCTTCCTGAAAGTCAAAGGAATTTGATCAGTCAATTCACAGTGAAAGGTTTATAAAGCAGTCAAATTGCTTTGTCTTTCATTATAGAGAAACAATCACTGTATACCACCAAGTTTAGTTTACCAGCACTGTGTTAAATACAAAAGTAGTACTGAAACACACCTTTAAAGGGTTGCAGGTTGTTATGTTTTGGTTTATGCAACAAGAGCACTTGATTTACATCTACTTATAATTGTGAATTAATATCTGTCAATGCTTTAGAGATGTATTTCTCCAAAGATGAGGGAATTCTTCAATAGATACCTTTCACAAAGACACTCTGTGCTGATTAGCTTTCTCCGTGAATCCCAATCTGGGATGCAGTTGACAGCTGTAAATTAATCCATGGGTACCTTTTTTGAATTTGCTGTGTTAATGAAAGCAACGAGGCACTGCAGCTACACAGAAAAGAACAGCTATCTTGGGTTAGAACGCATCACTTATGCTATGGCAAAGACTTTTTCTGTGTATTGCTCACATCTGAAGAAAAACAGGAAAGCCCTACATCTTCCAAACTGAATAAGAGAAATGCAGTTTCTTTCTTTGCGAGGCTTACGAAGCAAAGAGGTAGCAAATGCCCTTCCATGACTTGAGAATCGTTGGCAAAGAACTCTGGTATATGCAAAACTTGTTGGGTGGGTGGAAGACTTAAAAAAAAAAAAAAACTGTCAAAAACTCACAATTAGGGTTGTGGAAAGATCTCCATTTTCTGTTTTCTTTACTGTCTCATCTGTGGACATCAGCCAGAAATTGGCTATTAAATTCAAATTATTTGTCATATTTGACGAATAGTAACATTGGTGTGGCAGAAGCATTACAATTTAGGTTGACTAAATGTAAAATTGACACTTCGTGCAACTATTTGTTTCTAGCTAAGCATAATTAAAGAAAAGTATTCGGCAATTACCAACAGTATTTGAGTCAATATCACCTTTCTAACAAAATATATCAAATTTATATGCAAAGGTATTACATTGAAAGGGCAAAGTAGCCCTTCAGCTGAGGCCATTTCAGAGCAGAAAAATGATACTGAGATGCAGGTGTGCTGAAGGATGTTATGATTCAAATAAGTGGGCCAGGACAAAATCAAGAACTGTCAGAGATGTGGAAAAAATGTGCCCTGTAAAAGAAAATTGAAGCAATCAGGTTTCCTCAGATCACAAAGAGGGGAGAAGGACTGAAGTGAGAACCTGTGATAAAGAATCCTTTACTCTGAGTTGAATTAGCTAAAATTAGAGGAAGCAGTGTTTGATAAAGATTAAGCTAACCTTTCTGAACGTAAAGACAGGTGAGCAGTAGAATACTTTCTCAGGAAAAAGAAAGGATGTGTGAGTAGAGCTGTTGAGGAATGAGTTGAACAAATATCTGCTGAGAATGATGTAGCTGTAATAGTTTGCAAAGTGGATGGTAGATAATATTTTAAAGTACTTTCAGCTCCTTTTCCCTCACACAGGAGGATCCTTTCCATTACAAATGCATGTGTTTGCAATAGTTAAAGAGACTAATGTCATCTTTTTCCTAAAGCACACCACGGCTACAATTTGACTGACAGTTTGTTCTTATTAGTTCTTAATAATAATTGCACAAAAAGCTAGCTCTTAAGATGTGCCACCTCCTAGAGACATAACTCAACCACAAGGTGATCCTTACGTCCTGTTTCTGTACATCTCCTTTTTCCTGCAAATACAGTTATTTTCTCTAAGTGTCAGCTTACTGAATAATTTGATATCAGGAAAAGGAAAAAAAAAAAACAGATGTTGAAACCAAAAATTGTACACAGTCATCACTTAATGCTTGCAGCAAGTTTTCTGTTTCGTCTCATTTTTAACTTCCCTTCCTGTCCTAAGTATGAATCTGAAACAGCAGAGCTTCCAGACTGATGGATAGCTGATATTCCTCACTCCCCAGCAGGTATATTTCTGTCTTTGTTCTTACTCTTCACAGATGCCAGAATTTCAGAAGAAGACTGTCCACATTAAGGACCCGGGGAGAGTAGAAGAGATTATTTGTGGCCTCATCAAAGGAGGAGCTGCTAAACTTCAGGTAAAAATAGTAAAAGGTGTAACCAGTTCAGAATGAAAGTAATCATATGATTGTTGCTGCGTGCCAAAAAAATCTGATCTATATATATAACAAATCAGCCTTCAGGTAACCTCCAAAACTTGACATCTGTTACCTCTTTTAATAGGCCTTGTTGATCCAACTGTAATTCAGCCAGTCAAGTAAATGATATAAATATGCAAGCTTAGTATTTTCAGGATGTATTCCAATCAAAGGAATTAGAAAAACAATTTTCTTCAAAAAAAAATATGGCATACTCTGGCTTATCTTATAGTAAAACAGGCTTCTGTGAAAAATATGCTACTCAACTGCAACAGAATTTCTATCCATTCTTTATTTTGTCCCTCTGTGTTGTAAGACAGTTTTGCTTTTTCTTTCCTTAAATAGATTATTACAGATTTTGATATGACATTAAGTAGATTTTCCTACAATGGAAAAAGATGTCCAACTTGTCATAGTGAGTACTTTTTTTTTTTTTTAATATGGATTGGTTCATTCACTCCTTTCCGTTTTCCTAAGAATTTAATTTTCTATCTATATTATTTCTAAACACATGAGATTTTCTACTGACTTGTTACTGAGGCTGCACATTCTAGTAAACTATTGTAGTGAGAGTCTATGTGTTGTATGCATATATATTTTAATTACTATCTGTGTGAATTGAAATCAGTTGTCATTCACAATTAGAAACTAAGATCTGAACTACAAGAAGTTAGTGACTAGATAGTAGGGTTGACTTCTGTTGTTGAAAAGCCCATAATAGTCCTGACACCTGCAAGAATTAAATAGTAAAGCCCTTGGAATTCTTGACATTTTTGTGCTGTAGCCTTCTAGAACAAATAATAATAATGAAGTAGGGATCTTAAAACGTAGATTGCCTGATAATTATTTCAGAAACAATCTCAAGAGATTTGTCACTGACCTTTTGAGGGGAGGTTAGTAGTATCATCATGCTTATGAAGAAAAATGTGCCTTTTGTTGGTTGATGGCAAGAAAAACTGAGGTAATAATAGTATGTTGTCAAACATTGTCTTCTGTGCCATTTACAGCATACAGTGAAGTGAATGAAACGTAATGGCTTGTTTAACACCTTTTTTTTCCACCTCTCCAGACATCATTGATAACTCTAAGCTCATCACAGAGGAATGCCGGAAAAAGGTAAATGGAAAACAGACCAGCTGCTTGTTTGTTGCACAGACAACTGGTTTTATCCCTGGCTGTAGAGTGCCAGCACTACGAGACATGATATCTTCAAATGCTTGAAGCTCTGAGATCTCTCTGACTGACTTTAGGCATCCAGTCACTAAGAAGTGAACAGAAATACTTCTATTCTTGATAGTAGCATATGGTTTAGTTTAGCATCCAATGTTTATGCATAGGGATATGTGCAATCTGACTTTTTATTGTACAAAGAGTATTTAAAATTCCGTTTCATTTAAATAATGTATCTAGAATTTAAAAAGTTGTTTTGAAGACTAAATACCAAGCACTATTTCATAAAAATATATTAAATATCTGTGTTTTATTTTCCTTCAGTTATTGCAGCTGAAAGAAACATATTATGCTATTGAAATTGACCCAGCCCTCACTATTGAAGAAAAATATCCATATATGGTAGAATGGTAAGAGAAATCTGTGTTCATATCGCATTAAAATTAGGCTTAGTGATAGATTAGATTTAAAAATAAGTAACTTTTTAAAATGATATTAATGGTAGTAATTAGCTTTAATGCATTAACCGAATCAATCTACTGAGGGTTACACTACTGTTCTTGTTTTGCTGTTAATACGAATTAACAAAAGATAAAAGCACAGGATGCTTTTGTTAATGACATGTGAGTAAGTTGCCCAACCTACTTTTTATGTTCTAGGTACAATAAATCTCATGCACTACTCATCGAACAGGGCTTACAAAAGGATAAGTTTGCAGAAGTTGTGAGAGAATCTGACGTTATGCTGAAGTAAGTTTCTTTTAATTTCATAAAATCATAGAATCACCATGGTTGGAAAAGACCTACAGGATCACCCAGTCCAACCATCCACCCATCAGCAATAGTTCTCACTACACCACGTCCCTCAACACAACATCCAACTGTTCCTTGAACACCTCCAGGGTTGGTGACTCCACCACCTCCCTGCGCAGCCCATTCCAGTGCCTGACCACTCTTTCAGAGGAGTACTATTTCCTGACATCCAGCCTGAATCTCCCCTGGTGCAGCTTGAAGCCATTCCCTCCAGTCCTATCACCAGTTACACAAGAGAAGGGGCTGACCCCCCAGCTCTCTACAACCTCCCTTCAGGTAGTTATAGAGAGCAATAAGGTCTCCTCTAAGCGTCCTCTTCTCCAGACTGAAAATAATAATTTGAATAATTCTCTTTTGAAACAATTTCTGTATATTCTTACTGTGTGTTTTTATGGGGGAAAAATTCCTGAGCATGTGACATCTTATTCTTGGAATACAGAGAACTCTTCATATCCTTATTGATATTCTGAAGGTAAAGGCCTGTAGTGATCACACCATATAAACCAGAGATGAGAAACTACTTTTTTGGGGTTTGTTTTTGAGTGCTGTCTCCAGTAGAGTTCATTTCTGCGGACTTTCATCCTCTTAAAGTTGCACTGGTGCCTTTTTTTATTTATTTAAAGAGTGCATCTTTATTCCTGTAAAAACATTCCCTGCAGTAGTTTTATCTGAGATAGAATGCAGTGACATGAGGAACACGTTGCCTGTTTGTCTTAAATATTGTTCTTCTGTGGCTAAAGGTAAGTTTAAGAGCTAGCAAAATCCTGAAACATACTATGTGCTTTGGCTCCCATCTGTTTTAAAACACTCCAGAACTGTGTAAATTTTGGAATAGTGAAACAGGATGTTAAAACTTAACTTCTGAAACTGTTACCACATTGATTAAATTCTTCTCTTTTGCAAAACCAGCAAGCACACAGCCTCCAGCTGTCAGAAAGCCGAAGCCTGTGTAGGTTGAGTCTTCATTCACAGGCTAAAATTTCCTCCAAAACTTTCATGATAAAGTAAAATTCTACCATTCAGTGTCACTGCAGAGAAGTGTATGGAAATAATATCTTGTTCCTGGAATACTGTATGTAGTTACGATCTGGGTACTGACAACTAAAAACCTCTCAGAAAAGAGTGACAAGAATGTTGTCATTTTCTTTTCCAAAGATGATGTAAATGTTTTCAGAAAACTCTGATGTTTTTTGCCTTTTTTAAATTGAAATTTGGCTTTGATTTACATCCTGTGTTGCAGGGAAGGATACGAGAACTTCTTTGATAAGCTGAGTGAACATAATATTCCTGTGTTCATATTTTCTGCTGGGATTGGAGATATTCTTGAGGAAGTTATCCACCAGGCTGGAGTCTACCATTCTAATGTCAAAGTTGTTTCCAATTTCATGGATTTTGATGAAAATGTAAGTATATGGGATTGCTTGTGGGATTTAGTTGCTATTTATATATACTACGAGGTGAACATTTTAATCCATCAGATGTAGCCATCTGCCCTGCTGTATAGAAAATCAGAATTGCATATTCAACACTCTCTCAAACACAAAAGCAAGCAGAGGGTAATAAATCAAACACTGTTTAGGTGATGTGACTTAGTATAATTCATTTCCTCATAATCAGCCCAGTACAGCAATACTCCTCCAGGCAGGGAAGATCACTGCCTCTCTAATCTTAACAATTACAGTCATTCAGTTATCTAACAGTTATTTACCTTGTTCATAATTAAAGAGTTAAAAGTGTATTTATAGATTAAAATCTACTTCATTCTATATTATATTTTGTCTGTATAACGCTAGAAATAACTTGTGTTTTCTTAATAGGGGATATTAAAAGGATTTAAAGGAGAATTGATTCATGTTTACAACAAACATGATGGTGCCTTGAAGAATACTGAGTATTTTAAACAACTGAAAGACAACAGTAATATCATACTGCTGGGTGATTCCCAAGGAGACTTGAGTATGGCAGATGGAGTAGCAAATGTTGAGCACATTCTTAAGATTGGTTATCTCAATGATAAAGTAAGTGGCCTTAGATCCTTGTAGCTTGGAATGAAATACTTGTGAACTAGCAACGAGTCAATTACAGTCATTAAATAACAAAGCAAGTATTTGGCCCATACTTGTATGGAAATCTCAACATGTTTCATGGATTTCTTCTAGTTCTTTCCAAGTCCCACCTTCTAATACTGGACTGATAATTGAGCAAAACTGTAATGTTCCAAATAACAAGTTTTGTCCATGATTTCCCCCCCAACTTTAGAAACACAGAACTGTTAGCAACTTCCAATGTACATCCATTTCTGTTCATGAGAAAAAAAAAAAATCAGTTTTCTATTTCTGTCTATCTTTAGGAAAACTGAGAAAGCAGGTTTTTTTTCCAGTATCTGTGCGTATGAGGATCTGGAATAAATGTGAGGTTTATCTTGGAACATGAACACGATTAATTTCACTTTTCTCTTTCTTTGTCATCCTGTGGAATTCCCTTATAGGAGTGACATAATTTGAATGGCTTATTCTCTGAATCTGATGGAAAAAGATGGCAATATTTTAAGGACCTATATATATTTATATTCTAAAACTAAGTGGATCTCTCTCTTTATCCCTTCTGCAATTAGGTAGATGAACTTTTGGAAAAATACATGGACTCTTACGATATTGTCTTGGTGAAAGATGAATCCCTGGAAGTTGCCAACTCCATCCTACAGAAAATCCTGTAAATTGCAGTCTCAAGTCACTGCATTCTTTCCAGAAGGCAACTGAATAGAAGAGCACACACGTGCAATCTTAAGTGTATCTGTTACTCATTGACTGAACTGTTTAATTTAAAACTTTTATCCTCATTTTGGTATTTTGAAGTATATATGGTACCCATTGTCAACTAGAAGCTCCTTTTACTGCTGTTATGCTGTTCTTTATTGTCTCACACTCCTATTAAAACTACATTTAAATTGGATTTACAGATGTGATAAACTGCTTCTGAAGGGGTGCTGTGATTTGCTGTCTTTTAATCAGGCATTTTAAAGAAGATTTTAGTAAATGTGGCTATTGTGTGAAACTGAAGACGCTCTGAATAAGCAGCGTATGTGGGTTTGTTTTGCCTTTGCTTTTTTCAAAGTGTCATCCAAAATGTGGGAAGAAAACTCTCTGATTCCAATGCAGTGTTAGAAAAGGAAAAGATTTCATTCCCAGCTGTACTTTGAAAGATACTCACATGCTACAGACTGCCACATACATGTTTTTCTTCAGTAAAAATACTTCACCCACCCAATTCAGACAAAGTGCTCCCTATTAACAGGTTTCTGTATCATTACAAAGTGTGGAGTGGGGAAGTCATACTGTTTGAAGTCAGTACACCTGAGCTGAAGTTTCTCAACCTTTTACCAACAGGTGGTTCACAGGCTAACAGCATCCACCAGCTCCTTTTCAGATCCTACTTCTGTACTGCTCTTAATCCCAACCAGCTGCTTCATGTCAGAGCTCATAGAGCTTGTCTAAAGTACTTTCTCTTTGAATTCTCAGTGAGCTGCTCTGAACAGAAAATCAAAACAAAGCTAGATCTTAACCCTGGATTTTAAAAGCTCATTTAGCAATCGTGCTAAATCAAGTTTTCTTGCCAGAAGTTCTGTGCGTTGGAAACAGTTAAGGAACCACTGCAGGCTGGCCTTAGGTTACCGTTCTGCTCTCTGCAGATTCGAAGCATGAGGGTCAGTATAGCATCTAGCTCTTCCAGCTTTATTATTCAAACCTGTTTAAACATCTACCAAATCTTGAGAAAGTATTTCTTGTGTACTGAACACATTGCAGTACTTCTCAGCACTGCATACAGAGTGATACATCCTAACGTAGCCACAGCTTTGGAAGCGTGCTCTGATCAGTGTAGGAGAAGCTAAAAGTAGTGATGAAACCTTGGTCCTAAGGGCTTGAACTAGCAAAATCCCCACTAGCAAATTAAACTTAAAAAAAAAAAAAAAGCCTCTTTCCTGTTCAGCCCAAATGCTGACTAAGTAGCACCAACCATTCCTTTTCCCCAAATCAGCAGACTTCTATCTGTTACCACACCTGCTTGAACTTTTCCAAGGCAAAACTTCCCGACTTATCCCGACTCTGCATCCCCTGCAGTAAGTTGAAATTCAGTTATCCCTCCACTTTGAATGCATGGCAAAGTCTTGGTACCCAATCCAACATACTGTGAGCAGCCTTTCATAATCACCTTGCATACTGTCCTCAGTTACACAGGGCTCCTTGTATACAATGCACAGTCATGTAATTCCCTACTCCCGGCACGGGGGCAGCTGGATCCCCCAAAACAGGAGCCTGTGAAGCCATCCATTTGAGCAGAAAACTGCTTAAAACAGGAGATGCCTGGATATGGCCCTGGCTGCCTTCCATTTGAGTCATTACTCAAGCAGTGGAAGCCTGGAAGAGCTGAAAGCAGCCTGGCGGTGCCAGTGACACGAGGAGACAGAGCAGCCCAGCCTGCCAGGAGCCTGCCAGCCAAAGCCCTGGAATAAGAAGGGCTTGAAAGCGCTGCCAACAGCTGCAGCATTAGCAGAGCTGCTGCTCTCCCCACATATTAAAAAAAATAACGTGCTCAGGCCACTGTTGATGAGTAACTGAGAGGAGCAAAGATCTGGCAGGTAGAAACAGTGCACAGAATGAGCTGAAGGAGAGGAGTTGGGGCAACGCAGCTGAGCAGGGCACCTGCCATAGATCTGGGAGCTGCATTGGATGGGACAGGGGAGGAAGAAGTCGCAGGCCAGGGCAGAAGTTTGGGGTGCAGAACTTCAGCTTGGACAGAGCAGCTTTGTGCAAGCAGTCACAAGAGAGCCGGACAGTGTGTATTAGAAGCATGCCAACCACGCTGGGACAAGACAGGCTTGCAGGCACTAGGGACAGCAAAGACACTCCTCAGTGTGCAAGGCGTATGTGTCCTCTTTCCTCTCCTGCTTGGGCGTTTCCTCAAGCTACCCTGCACATCCAGGCCCTGAGGCCCCTCCCTCCGCAGCCCATCTGCCCAGGCCAGACAGTAGAGCAGGGTGGCGATAAGCAAAACTTGAAGGAAGGAAAGAAGCAGCCTCCTGCAGCCACCTGCCATCACTGCAATTTCAGGGCAGTGCTGTGCATGAATCCCCCCAGGACACTGATGTGAGGTGCCTGCTCAGTAGTGCCATTGGTCTGCATTGGGCTCCACCCAGCTCTAAGGGAATGCTGCAGTATTTCCAGGGAAGCTCAGCAGGCAGTTTCTTTAACAACCTATATATTGTGTGTAGGCAGCTGCAGGCTTTATACTACCAGAGCTAACACCAAGGCAGGGCAGTTTTTGGTATTTCTTAGTTGGAGTAACTGTTGTGGTTTTTTTTTTTTAAAGTGATCATGTTGAATCTTTTGACAGAGCTGCCAAGTAAAAGTCCAAAAGGCAAAGGCCTTCCACAAAGCATTGAGGTGTTTGGATGCACCTCTTACTCAACCAGTCTCCATCTGCTAGGAGCTGACTACCAGGCATTGCTCCGAGTTTACACTGGGGCAATTTCTTCCATTGACTGGTTACCTTTGGAATGCAGATAATAGTGCAACTTGGGTTGTGTGACAGGCAGCTGATAGCACTGCTCAGCAGCACAAAGAAGTCACAGCACACACACACCAGTACAGGATCCTTCTGGCACCAGGTGCAACATCTCCCTGGTAATCTGACTGTCAGTTCACAGAATCACAGAACGGCCAGGGTTGGAAGGACCTCAAGGATCACAAATCTCCAACCCCCTGCCACATGCAGGGCCCAATCCAACCTGGCCTTCAGCAGGGAGCAGGTCTGGTCTCTTGGCATCCTGTTCCTGAGGCAAGACGTCCCACATCCTCGTCCAGATGCCTCAGGACTTCATATGAGCACACAGATACTTCCTTCACATCTCTTCCTCAACCTCATCCACCCCACAGGAAGCAAGTCATCACTCCTTCAGTGGGATCATCCAACCCAGCCACAACAGAAAATAAAGCCATAGGGAAAAGCATTAGGCAGTATCTTTAAAAGCAATTATCTCAACAGAGCTCCAACAACATCTTAACCCAAATCTCTCAAATTAGTATGCAGCCTACTAGAGCCTGGGCAGTAGCAGCAGTGCCTGATGATTTGGGGGAAGCACCTGTTGGCTTTCAGTTCCCTATGTAGGCACTGAAAACTCTGCCTTGGCAGAGGATTTTGGATCCATCAGCCATTTCTCAAGCATCATGTGAGCAAAACTTACCCCTTGCCTGCAGGCAGATGGACAGTGAATTGTCATTCACCAAATATTCAGTCCACAGACAAGTGACAATCACTTAAAAGGATTTTTACCCTTCTGCAAGCAAGCAGGTAAGTTAAGCTCTCCAGCAAACCTCCTTCTATCATGAAGCCAACATGAAGTCATACCAGTTTCAGACTCCATGTTAGGGCACTGAGCCTGCTCAGCTCTTTGCTGGCACATCACAGCAACTAAGATTTGTTGATGCAGCAAACAATCACCTGGTAGAACCCATTTCCTGGGCAAAAGGTGTCTGCTAGTCAAAGAATTTACTTTTGAAATGCCACACGTACAGCTTTCCAGAAACAAAAACAGTTGCTTACATAAACATCCTGAGCCAGGAGGTGTGCTTTTAAAAACCTACATACCACTGATTATTAATCTCGTCATCTCACAGCCTGCTGCCAGCCCTAACTTACTTACATGGTAATTAAAAGAAGGCATTAGATGCATTTTTAAACACACTTCACATTTTCAAAATCCCATTGTTCTGTCCCTGATACGTTGGCTGGCAATAAGAGCTGTCAGTTACCTCTCCAAAAACATGACAAACACACCATGTTTACAGCTGACAAAATTAACACAACAGCCATAGGTTAAAACTATTCTCCAGCAAGTCTGCTATTCACCATGTGCCTACCTAAATCAGATTTCTGGCAATGACACCTCACAGCCCTGAGCGTATACTTCATTTGTTAATTTGAAGTGTATGTATATAAGTATATTTACATACACACACACACTCACGTATTTCCCATCAAAAACTTAATTCTAAAGTTTAAGAAGTAAGCAGCAACATTAGGTGAATTTAAAACATTTTTTTTTCTTCTACTCACAATATCTATTCTTTCCATAGCAGATATCCAGGGTCAAGTACTTGGGATCCCTACCTAGCTAAAAATGTTTCCCCAGCCTGATTGGGTATTGCAGACAACTCTGATGTCCTCTTATTATCAAAAACAAATAGTCCTGAGCTGAGCCCAAGATTTACACCCAGCGCTACCTAAAGATGCCATTTTTCTTTAATCCTAAGGGAAAATCTGAATGTTTATTCACACACACACACACACACACAAAAACGCAACATTTGAGTTCAACAATTGCAAAACTCTGAGTTTTTGAGTATCATAGAATCATAGAATCACCAAGGTTGGAAAAGACCTAAAAGCTCATCCAGTCCAACCGTTCACCTATTACCAATAGCTCCCACTAAACCATGTCCCTCAACGCAACAGAGTATACTCAGAACTCACAGAGCTACGCAGCAGGAAGCATCTCTTTCACATGAAGGCTGAAGAAATATTTACAAAATACCTGAATTTTTCCAGCTGCCCAAACTTGCATTCCTTTCATTTTCCATTAGTGGTGTTACAATCCAGTAGGTGTTTACCAACCTTGACTGCACACCACCCCTCTCATCAAGAGAGCTGGCTCCTATTAGGGAGCAATAGGAGCAGCTGCTCTGCTCTGGGAGTAGCACCTGGCTCTACTAGAGGAGCTGCAGCAGCCTGGCTTTGGGAGAGCCTCTCATTGACTAAACGAGGATGTTTTCATCCAGTTACTAATGATATTTAAAGAGTTGTTATCCATTTTTTCAAAATAAGCTATCTTAGTGAGGTATGTAAAAAAGTGTCATATGTATTACACAAGAAACAGTAGGCACTGAGAAGACCTT